TAGAAGAAGATTGGGGTGAAGTTCCAGTTTTATTTTGCTAGTGTTTCGACAGGACTGGACGGTTATTGTTTATAAGCAATTTTGTTTTTTCCGTATACTGGACTTGAGTTTTCAGACAGTGTTTGTATACTCGACCTGTTTTCAGTATTAGTGTGTATAATTCGATGTCCTATTTTTCAATGCTTTCTCCACAAAGATTGTGTCCGAGGGGATTGAGCATCTGAGTAGAACTTACTCTTTTGAAGTAATAAGGAAAATGAAATTGCTGTTCCCGTGATAGTTTTGTGATTTAATGCCGTTTTTCTCAACTTGGTGTTTTGTAGTAGTTGAATCTGCTAATCAATTCTGGTCTTAGTTTTGTCCATATAGTTTCCAATAAAGAAAAATAAATCTTGGATTTTTCAATTATGTTGATTGGTCAACTGGGACCGTTCGCACGTCAGCACTTACCTTTAAGGCTATATAGCAATGACAAACCGAAAACTTAGCCTTGTGAAGTGGGAGGAAATTTGCATGGCGAGGGAGTTTGGAGGCCTGGGATTGAAGAAACAACGGACAATGAATGAAGTCTTCATAATGAAATTGAGATGGCAATTCCTGCCCAACCGTAAGGCACTATGGATTGAGGTTTGGAAAGCGAAATACGGGACTAACCCGTTCCAGGAAGCTACTGCCCATAGACGTTCGGCTTCGGTGGTCATGCAGTCTGTACGTAAAGTATGGAAATATGTAGTGGGATGGGCTGTATGTGATGGGTCCATAACGAAATTTTGGTCTGATCGCTGGCTGCCATCGGGTATTATACTGCTACACGTTGCTATTGGAGAGGTTCCTCCGGAATCTATCGATAAACCGGTATGTTTCTTTGCTGCGGACGGGGGCGTTTGGCGTTGGAACTTGTTTGCACACTTGGTTCTTATCCACATTGCGGCGACCCCACCGCCGCGGCCTGAGATGGGGAGCGATCTTTACTGGGCTCACTGGAAAATTCACGACTAAGTCAGCGTACGACTTTTTGGTTGCAAATGACAAGACGGAATTAGACGTGGGCTAAAAAAGGCTATGGAACGCGGTGTGGCAATGGCCCGGGCCCCAACGTATTAGAATTTTCCTGTGGCTACTTATGAAAAATAGATTGCTCACAAATGTGGAAAGAAGAAGGCGCCACTTGACGACCGATGGGCTTTGTGGAATTTGCGGTCGAGCCACGTGATGAGGGATTGCTCGCTAGCAGCCGCAATATGGAGAGGCCTGCTGCCAAAGTCCGCCCATCCTGAATTCTTCGCTTTAAACCTCGAGCAGTGGCTTTTTGCAAACCTGCTACACCCATCGAGCACAGGGGTTGAGAATTGGGGCTGCATTTTTGGTGTGGCGGTATGGAAATTATGGCGATGGCGGAATGAGTTTCTCTTTCAAGAGAAAATGAAAACAGGACCTGGTGGGCTGCAGGATATTTCTATCTATGTTGAGTGCCTTCAGAGGATACTCGATGGGGACAGGAAACAAGGGGGGTCCGGCCTGGAGAAATGGATACGGTGGGAGAAACCACGAGCGGGATGGGTCAAAATCAATTCTGATGGGTCTTTTAATTCGAGGTCGGGACCGCGGGTGGACTCATAAGAGACGAGTTTGGGCAGTGGCGAGGAGGTTTCATAATCGGGGCTTGTTCGATAATGGCGGCGGAATTATGGGGTTTATATAGGTGTCTCATGCTGGATTGGGAGCTAGGATTTCGGCAGGTTGAAGCGGAGGTGGACAATAAAAGTGTCAGTCGGATTTACAACAAGTCCTGATGATGCAACATGGGTGCACATAGGTCTAGTGTTGGGCATAAAAGAATTACTCAGTCGACAAAGTGAAACATATTTTCCGTAAAGCGAATTTTGCAGCAGACCATTTGGCTTCCTTGGCTGCGGATGGATCGATGGGGTATCACTTCCACGAGCCGCCGGATGGAGTGCGTCGGTGGCTCCACCATGATTTTATTGGTGTAGCCTATACAAGAGCCGTGTGCAACTAAAACATTAGGCGTTAGCCTACTTCTTTTAANGACAAAACTCATTATTTTTTTACCCTCACTTTTTTATTTGTCAAACAGCAAGTGCATAACTTTTACTACCACAAGTCCACAACGCACCCCAACCCCAACTGCATTAGACCGAGTCCTGGAAATATCTACTTTCAGTTTGTACATATAAAACCATCATGATGTGGTGTACCCCCAAAGCGCATCACTCCTTCTATGCTGCAACTACATATATATGTATGATTGCCTGCAAAGATTGTCTTCAATAATTGTCTCAAAGTTTTCTCACTACCCAATGTTTAAAAATAATACCTATTTAGCACTTTTGAGAACACTGACATTCTATAAGAATACGAAAAAATGGTGTATCACAAATTGGCCCAGTTGATCTTTCACTTGCGGCCAATATTGTGCTGTAACCTTTCTTTCTTTCTTTCTTCCACTCTTTTTTTTTTTTTTNATAATGATCAGATAACAACCAATTAAGGAAAAATAAAGATAACATAACACCAATTTTCCCAAAAACTGCAAATTCAAAAGGGAAAAGAAAATAAGAACTACAGATTTACACAACTATCCTCATGAGCAACCTATAGCCAATAACCACGGCGTAAAAAAATTCGAAGAAAAAAAAGTCACCAGCATTGATCTGTTTCCCACCTACGGGTCGGGTAAAATCGGCTGGTATCCCGCCGGCGGTGCGAGCCAACTCTTAAGTTGAAATCGTAGACAGATCTAGCGTCCGGATCGGACAGCGTGGCGTACGCGTTGTGGATCTCGATAAATTCCCGGCCGTCCGCCGCCGACGAGTTCAGGAACCGCGACGTCGCGTCCGGGTGGTACAACTTGGCCAGCGTGCGGTACGCCGTCTTGATCTCTGTCTGCGACGCGTCTCGCTGGACACGGAGGACCTCGTAGAGACTCCGGCTGTCCGTTGCGGCGGACGGCGGTGAAGCCTCCGCGATGGAGGCGCAGGGGAGCATCCTTCCCGGGCGGCGATGGGAGACGCAAGCAGAATGAAAGGGGAAGGCTAGAGTTCCGAGCATTGGATGGGTAAAAATAGCGAAAGGAATTAATAGAGATGTGGAAAAATTGTGTATGCGGTTGGGGGATTTATATGGGGAAAAAAGAAGTCGGATTAGTCTTTCCCGGAAAATAGTGGGTGGGGTCCACTGGGGACTGGGGAGTGGGGACAGCTATTTTNCAATTTTTTTTTTTGTTGAAACGATAGAGATACTATATTAATAAAATTGCACAAAGTGCAAAAAGAAAGCAGTCAAAGGCTGAATATTACAATTAGAGACTATAAAACTGGGAGGCAGATCCAAAGATCGCCTAGAACCGTCTAGCAACTCTAGAATGACAAACTTGCAACTAAACTAACAAAATAACAAAAACTAACACAATTAAAAAGACACCAACAAAAACAAAAACTAACACAACTAAAAAAGATCCCAACAGAGTAATACCGGTGTGTCGGATCCTAACAGGATAATAAATTTGACACCTCGGAGCACAGAGGCCAAAAAGCCCAAACCAAAAATAAAAACCTAGACACAAATACAAACACAAACACAGATATGCAAACAACACAAAACAACAATAACTAATAAAACTAAAAAATAACAGCCCTCCCTCAGCAAACGAGTAGTCCCCACCAGCAGTGAATGAACGACACAAGGAATCCCAGCCCGAGAAACCACTACCGAAACTGCGCAACCGCCTATATAGTAGCCGAAACCGAGCCCCGAACCCTTCCCCGAATTGACCCACCCCCAACCGAGAGAAAAACGGCCAACCCCCAACAACCCCTCCCGAACCCGTCTAACACCACTAGCCGAGCCCACGAGAAACCAGGTCCCCGGACCCCCGCCGCCTAACACCACTAGCCGAACGGGGGCGGAGGGGAAATGACACGGTTTCTCTACCCCGAACGCCGCAGCAGCTGGGACCTCGCCCCATCCTCAGACCACACACCACCAAAACCACCACAACCCCGACAACCAATAGCCCAACTCCACCGGAAGCTCCGCCCGAAACAGAACCTCACGGAGATGAAGTCAATCGAAGCCAGAAATAGGGAAATAGAGGGGTTGCCATCCACCATCGAAGGTCTGCCTGCGACCGGAAAGCAGGGCCACCCATAATCGATCGGAATCTGACCAAGAAGACGGCACCTCCACACTCTAATTCGCCGTCGACTGAGAGCCATTTCTCACCAAGCCTCAGCAATTTCGTGGCGCCGAAGGTCCAGAACGGGAGGAGTGGTTAGGGGCGACCCCTGGTCGAGCCCCACCGACGCCAAGGGAGGCAAATCGGCGTCTTTTCTTCGCGGCGGGCTAAGTTAGGTTTTTCTCTTTTCTTCGCAGAGAGAGAGAGAGAGAGAGAGAAATTTTATCTATTATATGAGTTTTTTTGTTCTCCAATCTATTAAAAGCAATTTCGAAACAACATAATAAATAAATAAAAAATCTAAATAATCTTCTTTTGCTTATTGTAATAACTGCACATTTTAGTTGTTAGAATTTCATAAAATTCATTACTATTTTTGTTACACTAGTAACGCGTGCGATGCACGTGATGCATAATTACAATTATTTATGGTTATAATTTTTAATTATATTTCTATATAGTTTATTCAAAAATTTGGATTATTATAAGTAATGTGTCGAATATTTTAAAAATTAAACTATAATTTTTAATAATGATAATATTTGAAAGTCATGATAGAAAGGAATACATGAAAACATTCACTATTATAAAAACAAAGCACTATAGGAATGGAAATTAAAAAAATTTAGACAAAAAGTACCAAATATTAATTGTAAAAATATGCACACATAAACAAATGCCCACTAAAACATGTGATTGACCATTATATTGTGAGTTGGTTAGTGAATTTTTTGTACAACTGCAAAAATTAGTAAGCAAAATTTCCATCGGTTCAAAATTACTAAACATATTTTTTTAATTTTGTCTTTGTTATTTTGTCGAATACTTCTACGTTTTTTTTTTTTGTTTTTGTTTTATATGTTTTTTTTTTTGTTTTTGTTTTAGAATATCAAAATTGTATGTATTATCCCGTGGAATAATTATTTTAATATTGTAATTTTTCTAGATAATTTTCATACTCTTCAATTCGAATCGTTTCAGTCTCTTGTAAGAATATTTATCCAATTTAATCATATATCGATGCAGCGGAATGATCGAAATTACATACCTCCAGCCATTGCTTGTGTATGTTTGAGTTATTTGAAGAACTTGTAGAAGATAACGGTGAAGGCTTTGACACGTTCACTTTTATTCGGTTAGGATCTTCTAGGCTCTTTCACTTTCTCTTTAGATGGTGTTAGATTCAATACTCATAAAGTAATGAGTCTAGGGACCTTTTAAAACCGATGGTACCCTTTGGCAGAAAAGTACCTTTTGACAGTAGACATCTTTCGATAGATACCATTTGATGAAACGGTGTGATGTCTATTTATTAATTCTATCCATCACAGAATTAATATCAACCATCCAAACTGTATGGATTAAGGAGATTAACAGTATTTGTACTTCTTACGAAATAGAAACATGTGGACCACTTTAAATTATCTTGTTTATACATTATACAAGATAATTGAGAAAATGAAATACTAGCATTCTCCCAGTTGGTCCATATCTTGCTATATCAAAAACCATAGAATACAAAGAACACGAATCATGGCGATATGTCTTCTAAAATCGAGTAGTATCTTCCATGTATTACAATGCACTTTGATCCATAAAAACTTCCTTTTAACTTAATGAATAAACCCAATGTTTATTCTAGCTCCAAACATAAATGATAATTCTCAAGTTAAATGTGCACAAATTAAGTGAGAAAATATCAATAAAATTTTCAATGCAACAAGTAACAACAAATGTACGTACAACCAAATGTTACATACTAGAAACGAGTCCCATTCGTACTACATGATCCTTAAAATTCTTTGGTGGCATGCCCTTAGTCAAAGGATCAACAATCATTAATTCAGTGCTAATGTGCTCAATGACCACTTTTTCTTCTTTCACACGTTCCCTCACAGCTAAGTACTTGATGTGATGTGTTTACTTCGACTTCCACTTTTATTATTCTTAGCCATGAATACCGCATCTAAATTATCACAATGTAGTCTCAATGGCTTAGATATAGAATCAACAATTCTAAGCCCATATATGAAACTCTTTAACCATACACCATGGCTAGTAGCTTCAAAACACGATACGAACTCCGCTTCCATTGTCGAGGTAGCGGTCAAGGTTTGTTTGGCACTTCTCCAAGATATAGCTCCGTTGGCCAACATGAAAATATATCCAGATATGGATTTTCGTGAATCAATGCAGCCAGCAAAGTCAGAATCTGAGTAACCAGTTACCTCCAAATTTTCAGTTCGTCTATACATGAGCATATAATCTTTTGTCCCTTGAAGGTACCTTAGCACCTTCTTTGCAACTCTCCAATGGTCAATACCTGGATTACTCTGATATCTCCCTAACATCCCAATAACAAATGCAATGTCTGATCTGGTACAGACCTGAGCATACATAATGCTTCCAACAGCTGAAGCATATGGAATGGACTTCATTTGTTCACGTTCGGACTCATTTTTCGGACATTGATTCAAATTGAATCTATCACCTTTTACAATTGGAGCTACGCTTGGTGAACAATCTTTCATATGAAATCTCTCTAAAACTTTATTAATATAGGCCTCTTGAGACAAACCTAAAATGCCTCGAGATCTGTCTCTATGAATCTTAATGCCAATGACATAAGACGCATCACCCATATCTTTCATATCAAAGCTTTTAGAGAGAAATTATTTCACCTTATATAACATACCCTTATCATTAGTTGCAAGTAGTATATCATCAACATATATAACTAGAAAACATATCTTGCTCCCACTAACCTTTTGGTATATACATTAATCCATGATGTTTTCTTCAAAACCAAATGAAGTGATAACTTCATGAAACTTAAAATACCACTGCTGGGAGGCTTGTTTCAGCCCATATATTGATTTATTAAGCTTGCAAATTAAATGCTCACCCTTACTAGAGGAAAACCCTTCAGGTTGTTTCATATAAACATCCTCTAGTAAATCACCATTAAGGAATGTCGTTTTCACATCCATTTGATGTAACTCAAAATCAAAATGAGCTACTATTGCCATAATAACTCGAAGCGAATCTTTCTTAGATACCGGAGAGAAAGTCTCCGTGTAATCAATTCCTTCTCTTTGAGTGAATCCTTTTGCAACAAGTCTTACTTTATATCTCTCGATGTTGCCTTGTGAATCTTTTTTGGTTTTGAAAACCCATTTACAACCAATAGGTTTCACACCCTTAGGCAACTCGATGAGATTCCAGACTTTGTTTGATGCCATAGAATCCATCTCTTCTTTCATGGCATTATACCATAAGTTTGATTGATTTGAACTTATAGCTTGTGAAAACGTTTCAGGATCATTTTCAGCTCTAATATTGTAGTCACTCTCTTGCAAATACACAAAATAATCACTAGGAAGTTTTTTATCAGCAACTTCTTGATTTTCAAAATTTTGTTCAATTGGATCAGAAATATGCTGAAGTTTAGAATCTACAAGATGTGGTTCAACATTTTGTGGAATTTCGAAATCGGTTGTTCAACATACGCTTGTACTTGAGGCATATTATTGACAACAGTCATGCTATCACTTGCAATGAGATTTCTAGAATAGTCTCTCTCAGAACTAAGTCCAAAGATTGACTGCTCCTACTGATCAAGTCATTTTTAAGAAATTTTGCATTTCTTGATTGCACAAACCTAGTGTTATGAGATGGACAGTAAAATCTATATCCCTTAGACCTTTCGGCATATCCAACAAAATACCCACTTAATGTCTTAGGGTCCAACTTCTTTTTTTGAGGATTTTAAACTCTCACTTCAGACGGACTTCCCCAAACGCGTACATGTTGCAAACTTGGTTTCCAACCTTTGAATAACTCAAATGGAGTCTTTGAGACTGCCTTAGTTGGA